CTCTGTCTGTTTGTGGGGCACCTAGCAGTGGGATTAGGTCCTGTCGCTAGAGCATGAGCTGGCCTTTTGACATCTATTTCCAAGACTGAGAAGCCTCGCCCAGTGTTGATGTTGGGGAGGAGCTTGGTCTTGCCTCAACTTGATATGAGGTGCTTGGTTGACCCCCATGGAAGGCCTGCCCTTTTCTGAATTGAAAAAAAAGTGGATGTGGGGGGAGAGGGGTAGACTGGAGGTATGGGGATAGAACAGGAAGAAAGGAGATAGGAGAAACCCTGGTTGGTATGGAAAATAAATAGATTAATTAATTAATTAATTAATTAAAAAATAAAAGATAGCTCAGCTCAGTCTTTAAGAGATTTTGCTGCTCTTCCAGAGGACCTGATTTTGGTTCCCAGTCTGGTAACGACATTTAACTCCAGGTCCAAGAGATCTGACATACTCATCTGGTCACATGTACACTATATACACATGTCACGAATTCTTTCTGATATACATACAATCAGACAGACAGACAAACAGACAGACAGACACACACACACACACACACACACACACACACACACAAAGCATTCACACAAATAAATAAAATAAATCATTTTAAATGCAAAAATTTGGTTTTATAAAATCAAATACCAGCTACTGTCACTTAACATATCTGGAAAAAAATCATATGACAGACATGTAAACTTACTTGTAGCAAAGAAAATTATCTCTTAGTTTGGGTATATATTACAGTGGTGTGGTTCATTCATCGTTTTTTTGATATAAAATTATATTCTTAGCATTATATTTTTTTGTAAATTGTTCTTGCAGCTTAACTTGGCATTGATACCTCTACAATAGGAATGTGATAAATTTACTATTTATTCTCCGAAGAAGAGCTATGGTATCATAATAGAGTATAATTGTAAGTAATCCCTTTGAACATTCTTGAAAACCTGCTTGTAATTATGTGAAAAAGCATAAGCACTGTGTTTCCTTTTACCAGCTGTTTCCTGTCATCTTGTCAGTCTTTGGAATTAGCAAATTTTAAATATAAATGGATTTGATCAGACAAGTGTATAATGAAGCAAACAGAGATTTTGATAGACTTCTCTAGTGGCATCATAATGAATTTGATTCCAACTACAACATCCTCAATTTAAATTTCAGACAAATTATGACAGGTGAACTCAACTCACTGCTACAGAACAGTGACATATTTTACAAGCACCATACCTTTACCAAACTGAATTTAACATCAATGAGAATTGGATAAAAATAGCATTCTCCCAAGATTTATATGATTATTCATAGAAGTAATTTTCCCTATTTGTATAATGATGCATGACACTATTAGATACTAATAAATACTTGCCCAATTTTCAAAAATAGTTAGAAAGTGCTTAGTGGAACTATATGAAAAAAAGATATTGGCAAACAAATATAACTACAAGAATATCTGACTGCCTTACCCCACCAAATTTTCACATGTGGATTTATACACCCCTCTGAAAGATTAAGATTACTTAAATGCCTTGTTGCTCAAGTCTCATCTCATATTGGTCACTTGGGTCAATAGATCAATACAGGTTCTTGTTCAGTTTCTGAAAGAAATAAATTGATATCATTAGTCTTCTGGGAATATTTCTGCTAAGACTAACATGTGGGCAGTAGAAAAAATTAGAGAGCCTTAACTAGTTTTAAAATAGACATTTAAGGTATAATTCTATTTGTAGAAATTCACTTCCATCTTATTTTTCTCAAATTTATTTTTATTAGCTGATGTATTCGTGGTTTAATAGAAAAAGAAAAAATCAAAAAAATTAATATTAAGAGTGAAAAATAAAAAAGTTCACCTTAATATATGACCTTCTATAGTACAACATGTTCTTTGCTTCCCTGTGGCTCTGATTGTTATTCAATATTTCTGAGAGTGGTGATTACCTGAGATAGTTTGTATAAGATAGTATGAAGTTATCCTATTGTAATAATTACTGAATATTAAACATATCAATAACTACAGTTCATGATCAAATAAACAACAAATGTAGTGGTTTCAGGAAGACAAATCTAATTCCACTTTTTGTCCAGGGTCCACAGCATATAATGTGCAAACAAAGAATATGTCTGGAAAAATAAAAGTTCTACACACAATTCCATGACATATCTATTATGGTTAAGGATCAAGGCTCTTCCAGTAAATATCACATTACATGAGAATGATCTATGAAGGAGTAATATGTGCCTGTAATATTGGCACACAGGAGCTAACACATATTCAGTTTGAAGTCATCCTGGAAGAGAGAAAGCAAAAGGGGGATTCATTATTTATATAGAGGTCTTATCTTAATGCTGTTTAAAAGTAAAGAATGGGGTCTGTTCATTGCTGTGCATTATTTTTGCCCAACCAAGAGAGCAGTTTACCTGACTCATGTCTTAAAGTATTTTATAGAAGACCTCCAATCAGATTGAACATCACCTAACAAACTGTATGGAGTAGAATCTAAAGATGTGACAATTTCTTTTGCAAACCCAGTTCATGTCTTGGTGTTGTGAAGAAAGCTATCCCCGTACCTGATGAAGCAGGTGCAGAGTTGTTTAAAGCTACCAGTAGAGCCCTGATGATGCCTTTCTAACCATGAGCTGTTCTTTCTCATTATATTTTCTCAAAGCAGCCCATGTGAAAACACGTGCCATCTGCTGTCTGTAAAAAAGTAGAACCCACCACTTCCTCACAGTTGTATTGCAAATGTAGATGATATTATTAAGACACTTACTTAAAGTTTAAATAATTATTTATTTTAAGCTAGGTAGGTTTGATCAAGTTTGATTTATTTGAAGAAATATAAGGTGCTCTAAATTCTACCTTGGAAATTGAAAAATGCAAGGAAGGGAGAATGGAAAGTAGGGAAAAATACAAAGCCCTTAAAACCAGGTCTAGGTCAACCATTACTTTAGCTGTCTTTAGAGTTCTTGTTTTAAAGATCTAAAACAAGCTGACATACAATGATCTACAGAGAATGATCTTAGATCTGTGACCAAGTTGTGAGAATAACTCATCTGAAAATAAAAAACAGTAGGTTAGCTTAATATTTGGGGAGTACGTCTTGTCTACCAGGCATGGAAAATGTGATTAAAAACAAACCAAAATGATATCCACATTATCTCATAATCAAAGATCTATAGGGACCAATTAAAGAACACACCAGTCTCTTAGAATTCAATTCAAAATTTAGACTGGTGGTAGAGATGAAATTTACATAGTATAAACAAAGAGAGGGATGTGGCCAGAGTCTGCAGCCCATGCAGCCAATGCAACCTGTACAGTAGTGCATGTTCCCTTGAAGAAGCCTAGAAGATGACACAGCCATTGTAATTATGAACTCAGAGCAACCGTGGTTGTCTGCACATGGTCTGCCCAAGTCTGGAGCAATCTGTTGTAATCTTCAAAGGGAAAGAGGCTTGTGGGTCTTGTTCTTGCCGATGAAGATTTGGCTAGGTGTAGGTTCTTTGAGAGGAACAGTCATTGTATTTGATTGGGTAAACACTGCTTAGTTCCTTTTGCTCCGATGGCTAGTTCCACACAGATGGCCCTGGTTACACTCAGTGGGTCACAAAACAAAACAAAAGACCTAAAGGGGAAAAATAGCCTTGTGGGATGGAGGTCAAGGGAGAAAAAAAGGAGGGTGGGAAGTGAGTGAAATAAGAATGTGTTATAAACAAGCTTGAAATTATCAAAGAATTGTTTATTTATTTGTTAATTTTATCAACATTTTTCTTTGTATTTGTTCTTCTCTTACACAGTACACCCTGATGACAACCTCCCCTCCCTCCACTCCTTCCATTTCCCCAGCACAATTTTAATTAAAAAATTTAAAATTTACGGAGCCAAGTTTCCAAAATTTTTGATTTTATTAAACCATACATTACCATTTAAAGCAAACTAACCCTATGAAAAAAAATTTATAACCACCAAAAAACAAATCATAGAAACTTAATAATATAAACACATGCTTGAAAAGTATGATAATTGTATGCATGCTTTCACTCATTCATTTAGCAAATATTCATTAAGCAGTATGCTGGTTTACAATGTTAGAAAAAATTGAATTAATCAAACCTTAATGTCAGCTATTTCTATTAGTTAAAAATTAACAGTTATCATAAACTTGGTGCATAAGTTTATGCCTAGTTTAAAAATTGTAAATAAAATTCACATTCAATTCAGCAAATTTCACAAAATTCCACACGAAAAAATCTAGGTCATACTGTTCTGTGGTGGTATTCTAATTGTACTGAAATGTGATTTTGATTGTATGTTAATAAATAAAGTTGCCCAGGGGTCAGAGCTATTAGAGCCATAGCAAGAGTGTGGCGGTGGTGGCACACACCTTTAATCCCAGCACTTGGTAGAAGAGCTAGGTAGATCTCTGTGTGTTCAGGGATACAGCCAGCATTGGAGACATATGCCTTTAAGACCAGGGGGGCTGTACATACAGACAGTGATGAGGCAGTCACGTGTTTGGGTTTACAACCAATGAGAAGGCAGAACAAAAAGACTATAAAAAGACATACACACAGGAAGTAGGTCTCTTTCGGAGAGCTAGTACCACCGCAGGAGGAAGGGTGAGATTTTAGCTCTGAGCTCTGACCTCTCAGCTTTGTCTTTAACATTGGTTCTGTGTTTTTTATTTAATAAGATGGTTGGTTACATCTACACTGTTGTATTAGAGAAATAATGTGAGTCAACAATATAAAAGTTAGAAATGTCTCTCAGCCACATTAGGAATGTGAGAATAGTAGATAAAGTAAACAGTAATATTTTTTAGTTTATCCAAAGTATACTATGCAGATGGAAGTTTGCCTGTGTCTCGCATCCGTTTGTTCACAAATAAACACACAGAGGCTTAAATTAATTACAAGCTGTTTGGTCTATGGCCCAGGCTTATTACTAACTAGCTCACTCATCTTAAATTAACCCATTTCTATTAATCTATATTTTGCCACATGGCATGGCATTAACAGTCTGCTAGCATCTTGCTCCTATGGTGGCTGGATGGTGTCTGTCCCGACTCTGCTCTTCTTCTTCCTGTCTCTCTGCTTGGATCTCCTGCCTGACTCTTATCTTGCCTTACCATAGGCCAAAGCAGCTTTATTTATTTATTAGCCAATGGTAGCAACACATTCACAGCATACAGAAAGAAGACTGTCCCACAGCAATACTAACCATGTGACCCTACCTATATTTAAAAAACATAACAAGCATAGATAGCCAGTGCTTACCATTTGGGAAACCTTGCATTGATGGTATGGCTTCAATTTATAAACTAACTTTATGAGTAGATGCAGACATTAAATTCCTCAAAGCTTCAGTGGCGAGCACTTTGGTGTGTTTTCATTTTGAGACTCCTCATAGATCCCGAGAGAAAAAAATCACCCTCTCAAGAAGTGCTGTTTATGTACCAGAGGCTTGCATCCAGTAGGACAAGGGGTTTAAGTTTCCTAGCATTCAAATAGGTAAGGCTGTGAGTATCAGCTGGAAGGATGAGGGATCATGAGCTGAAAGAACTGGTGATGGATTTTCTCCATTTTGTTGCTCATGTCCTCGCAGAACAGTGACTCACTGTAGAGCGTTGTTTAGAAGTCTCTTATACCCATCCATGTTGTTATAGAAACATCCACATGTGTACTACATACTGCTGTATGAGCCTCACATCAATGGCCCTTTGTTTCTGTGCACATAACCAATATTCAGCTCTTGGGAACCCTGCTAAACACATTGTTACAGAAGCACCTAACAAAACAGGAACTGCAGGCACCAAAGCAATTTCAGAGGAAGAAACTGGGACATCCTAGTGTCCCATCTCCTCACACCCTGACCCCAGCATGTGCGATCAAGAGAGGAAGAAGGACATGTTGGACACCACTGGGTTTTCTTCACAAACTTTCTCAAAACAAACTCGGCAGGACTACCCCAGACTTGGCAGAACAAATTGTATGTCTGCCACAATCCAGTCTGTCCCACAATCTAAATATTGAGGAACAAATGTTCAAAAAGGACATTTTTTTTTTTTTTACTATTGACCTCCAGAAGAGACAATGTAGGAGAGTCAGCATTCCTTTATCTGTTTTACAGAAGGAAAATTATTGCCAGAGATATATGAACATAAGAGTAGAGGAAAACAATGAGCAGCAAATGTATTTAGCCTTCTGTCTTTCCAAAATTGCTATATTACTTTGCATTAGTTACATGTGTATTGATTTTAATGCAAATAAATTTTATCCCAAATGTTTTAGAGACAGTCATGCTAAGGCATGACTAATTAATGGACTATTGCCTAATTTCAGATTCATGTGGATTATTACCATACTGTATGCCGATGTGTGAGTGACACAAACTTACTGGATGTTAGCTTCTTCATGAGTAGAATAGAAATAAGTAAATTTTAGAGTTTCTTGTGAAGATTAGATAAAATAGACATATAAAATATTTTCTTTTGTACACACAATGTATAGAATGCCATGTAAGTGTGTGTGTGCATGTGTGTGTGTATGTGTATGTGTGTGTGTGTGTATGTGTGTGTGTATGTGTATCTGTGCTATT